AAAATGAGAATTTGGGTGAAGATTATTTGGGCTATAACAAACGGGCTCACGAATTTCGCGCCTCAAGGTAACCGTCGTGCCATTGACAGAGGAAACCAGACAAGTAGTGAATAGGTCTTTATTTAGATCTTCGCGCAGTCACAGTGGAGCGTGAGATTATTTGTTCAGACAAACAAAGCCTCTCAACATTCAATATAAGATGATAGGAAATATAACGCCTATACAAAATAAGGAAGTGAATGAACACTTGAACTATACTGTTTTAGCATATGCTTGGTTGTTTGAGGTCAACTCTTAACCAACCAACCTAAGCTGTTACAGTTCTTCGTTAATAAAGATACACCCTGGGCTTGATAGTCTGTCTATTTCTCTGACGGTTCGTTAAATTCATATTTTTCAATAATCCTTGTTACCCAGTAAGGTTAAGGACTAAAACTGATGGGAACATCCTCTCCGTCTTATGCACATTCAACGAAGTTGATTTTAGGAAGATCGAAGTATTCTAAGATGGAAATTTATGTACTGGACGAGTAAAACGGGATGTTTTTTCTAATATTCGATTGCCGTAATAGGAATTAGAAGTACGTTTTCGGTAAATAACTCCTGGCATAAAATAAACAGAGTTGGACAATCTCAGGAAACACTATACAGATTTATCAAGATTGGTAAGTGCGTCGATGTACACTTGACGTGCTACCGAGTAGGAACGTATACACAATACAGCTACACTTCGCCTCTCGGTTTTTGTCGTTGCGGGGCAAAGACCTACTGGTTATTGTCAGCTCCTGATTGGTAGCTTGAAAAAATCCTAATGTTTAAGGCTACTTTCACCAGATAAGTATTATTCTTATTACTTGGATCATGCAAATAATTTTATTTGGTATACCGAGTCGTTCGTAAATAACCAGTTGATATTTCCTAGATGAAATGCATGTACCTTTATTCTTTTAAGTTGAATGAGCAGGAAATCTGCTTACACATAGCCTTCTCAATGTGTAGTTACTGTTGCCCTCACAAATTTTACGCTTATCAGTTCACAAGTTTGATTATCATTTTTGGTCTACTTTTGCGCCTAGTTAGTTCTGATATCATGTGGCTTGTCCGGGTGTGAGAGGGTTCCATTAAGTAGCCAAAATCTAATGGCAATAAATTACTCTAGATTACTTACTATCTGTGGTGATAGGAAGGGTACTTCAACTGACCAGGTCCTGGAGTCAAATCCTTCCAGATCAATCAAGTTACTTGTTGGGCGACAAAATACTCAAGGTTTTAAGGACTATTTTATAAATGTCCAGTCGTGAATATGTTAGGATTCAACTTTAATATATAGGTTTTCCGGAGTTCATTGCACAACAACGACCCTTCCACAAAATAACGTATTCCCCGATCCCTTTGGGATACTGCTGATTAGATTGCGCTCCGTATGTGATGTGTACGGCAGAGTACGCACATTTTCAGGTCTAACCAAGTGACTGATCAGCTAAAATTCCTCAACCTTTTCATTCCCCGTAAACGTGACGTGAAGGAGTCTCTGATGAAACGAGCATTTGATAATATTGTATGGAGTAGGTAGTGTGACTTTTATTAGTCTTACTTTAAAAAGTTTAAACTTCTTATTTAAATCCCTCCCCAGTATTCTATCGTTTTTGCTTTGAAAACTGAGAGGCAGATTAGAGTGAGCCTTTAAGTTAATCATAGAAAAGGGGTTATCGCGAACTGAGGTTTTTCGCTTATCTTGAGTTGAGATTCTTTCGACTTGGATATAAAACTTCTTTCTAAGTCTCAATCTATTTTTTTACTGACTGGAGAACTTAGGGAGGCTATTGTATGGTGAGAGTAATAATTGAATTCCTTCCAAGACCTGGTCTGCGATTTTAAAAAAAGACCAGAGTTGTTGATGAGCCGCTTAAACAAACGAATCCAGGCGAAGGGTGGGATCGTGCCACGTTTGCTCCAGGAAATTACATAGATGAAGCTGACAAATCTGCTCCAGCAGTATTTTCCACTGATGAAAAAACTACCATCTAAATCTCAATACATGGTGCCCACAGTGTCGAGTCACCTAGACTGGTGGCCACATTGCAACATGATCGATAGCATTCGACCTGCATCAATAAGGACTAGACAAGCATGACATTGATCACCACCCAGTGGTCAATCAAGGACTCTTCATCGTATTTTTCCTGTTATAGCCAGTTACTATTCAAGGAAAATAAGCCTCGACAACAAACTGGAGATGCACTTCAAATCAATCAATTGAAGACAATGGATTCAAAGAGCGATAAACGGATACGGAGGCCTCCATACTCAAAGGTCAATCGAAAAGTCGCTATCAGTTAGGGAATATTAAAGATAGAAATAACAGATTGGAAGAAATACAATTCTTAGTAAACTTCAGTATTAACCCTGCCCAAGATCAAGATTAAATATCATATGCGAAAAATAAATGGATGGGATAGGAGATTTAGTGTTTGAGTAGAAAAAAATGTTGATGAACATAGGAGTGGTTTTCTCGCTCACATACATACACACAAATACAAGTACGAACAGGATGATCTCAGAAAACTTAAATCTAATTTCTGTCCACATATCATCAGTCTAAGAACTCGTTCTATGTTGGACTTAACAGGTTTTCAGAGATTCACAGGCTTTTATATTTCACAGAAGCGTGAGGCGTAGAAAACTGACGTAAATCTAAATTACTTCGAAGGTACACTGGATGTGGTAGAATTAGCCGATACTGTTAATCAAGTGTTTTGTAACGAAGTTACCCATGACATTAAGGTGATATTTCACCATTATTTAAACTATCAAGGTACTCCTTCTCTATATCTGTGAATACATACTAGTTGTCAGGACCTAAATATTTAGTTTGGTGGTCTTATTTGTGTTCAAAAATATGTTTCGACCTTCGAAAATTCCGATGATAATCCTTAGTTACTACTTACGCTTGTTGACGCTTGTGGAGCAGTATAAGGCTCCCACCACCATTCTAAAACCAACTCTATACTGGGCAATACTTTACAGTTGTTTCCAATTCCTATTCATCATTTTCATGTGTGCCTCCTATTCCCAACGCAGTGTGTTCATTGGTCTTCCTCTTTTCCTCTTCCATTCACCATTCCGAGTTAGCACTTGCTCGTGATACAGTTTAGTGATTTCCATAATGCATTTTCTGTCCACATCCAACATCATTTCTTAATTTCCTCCTCAAATGGAAGCCGGTTTGTTCTCTCCAACAGTAGATTGGTATAATATTCTAATTATAGTATGAACTAGGAATTCCAGGATTAACGCAATTGAACTAAGAAGACACAGGCACAAACGAATGTATTGTATTTAGAATTCGAAATCCAGTATTCAACCAGTACAAAGGTATCATTGGTTCATTCAAACACCACATCCGCCACAGCTTAAATTGGAGTCTAGGTGTTTATAATCAATCGTACGTCTTCTTCTCAAATTCATCCTGAGTCTGTCTGACATTGTATTGGATAAGGATTCTGTATTATCTAGAATATGCTCATTAGCATTAGAATTAACAATCGAAATTGGAACTGACTCACCTGGTTCCTGAAATTGTATTTGATCTACATGTCGACTGTGTGTACTTAAGTCATCGATGTCTAGAATTCGCACCATCGATTTTCCGACATTCTTCAGAACAATACCCGTAGATGGTCGAAGATCATTTCCTCGATAGTATGTAACCTCTGCAGACTCCAGACATCTCATATTCGACGGAAGAATTCTTCCTTTCAATAGCTTCGCTGGAGTCTCCTTCGTCACCGAATGTTTGGCATTTCTATATTGCAATAGAAAGGTATCTACTCCCCTCTCCAGCTCATTAAATGTTGAGGGGGCTATAGAATCAATAGCAGTCTTTAATGTCCTAACAAAATTCTCTGCCTGACCATTAGAACACGGATGTCTGGGAGCAGTAAATAGATGTTTGCACCCTATACCGTTCAACCAGGTAGTGACTGCATCTGCAGCAAAATGTGAGCCATTATCAGTCACCAACACCAAGGGAACACCTTCTCGACTAAACACCTTTCTTAATGCTTGTATTGTGAAATCAGAATTTGGTGAAATTGTGAAAAAAACTTCAGGCCACTTTGAAAAAGAATCAATGACTACTAGTGCGTAGTATTTACCAAGAAATGGTCCACAATAATCAGCATGAATCCTCTGCCAGGCCTCAGACGATACTGGCCATGGCACCCACTTCGAAGGATGGTTTTTCAACTGATGACATTTCTCACAACTGTTTGTCGTACGACATATATCTGCCTTTATCTCTGGCCACCAGCATGTGAGCCTTGCCAAGGACTTCATTTTCTCAACACCTAAATGACCACTATGAAGATCTTTCGTGCCTTAAAGTAGCCCTCGTGCTATTGATAGAAGAAACCAGAGAAGTAGTGAATAGGTCTTTATTTCGATCTTAGCGCGGTGACAGTGGAGCGTCCGATTACCTGTTCAGACAAACAAAGGCTCTCAACATTCAATATAAGATAATAGGGAATATAACGCTTATACAAAACAAGGAAGTGAATGAATACTTGAACTATACTGTTTGGGCATATGCTTGGTTGTTTGGGGTCAACTCTTAACCAACCAACCTAGGCTGTTACATTAGCTTCCCCCTAGAATCGACTTCCGTAGGAACGTCGGTTCGATTAACCTATCTATCGAAAACACCTTAGTTCTATTTCTCATCCCCAGGGAAAATTATCAACTCGCTCACTGTTTGACTTACAATCAGTGACGACTAACGCTGTCAACGATAGTCCATGGACGTCTCTTATTTACTAGCTTGTCATCTTATTTTGTAGCATGTGATTTCTTCTACAACTATCGCCGACGGTTTGCTGCGTGCATTCAAGAGAAAGTATGAGAATGTGGAATAAGAATATCTGAGGAAGTGCCGCGTTTCTCAGGCCGAATGGCATGCGTACAAACTCGAATAAGCCAAAGGGTGTAGTAATAGCTGTTTTGGGAATATCTTCATCAGCCACGGGGATATTGTGATATGCCCTGACTAAGTCAATTTTAGTGAATATGTTCATACCCTGTAAACCGTTGGTGAAATCTTGGATATGAGGTATTGGGTACCTATCTGGTACGGTTTGACGGTTTAGGGCTCTGTAATCCCCGCACGGTCGCCAGTCACCTTCATTCTTCTTTGGGACCATATGCAAAGGGGATGCCCATTGACTATCAGAGGGACGGATAATACCCAATTGTAGCATATAATCAAACTCGGTCCTAGCGATTTTGAGCTTATCTGGTGCTAGTCTCCTGGGTTTTGCAAACACCGGTGCACCTTCGGTTTTGATAGTGTGACTCACTTTTAGTTTGTCTTTGGAAGGCTGTGGGTTTGGTTTAGTTAAGTTTGGAAATTCCGCGAGTATATCTTGGAATTTCGCTGTTGTAACTGGAGGGGTTTGAATCAAGTTAAGAGAGCTGATGTGACTTTCTTTGCCTTTTGTGTAATACGAAGTTTCTTTTAGTGTTAATCGCCGTTTCTTGGTGTCAACTAGAAATTCGTATCTCTCTAGAAAGTCCATCCCCAGTATTGCCAGATCTAAGTCGGCTACCGTGAAAACCCAAGGGAATTGCCTCCTGAACCCCAAATCTAGGGTTAAAGTTTTCTGCCCAAATGTCGCAATATTAGTTTTATTTGCAGCTTGAAGTGTAATTGATGATGTTTCTCGACTAATCTCAGTTTTATTTTGAGGGATGATGCTAAGAGCAGCGCCAGTATCCACCAAGAAATTCAAGCCCGAGTTTCTGTCTCTAACATAAAACAAGCGACTGTTTAGGCGCCCCTCCTCAGTCGTCGCGACCTGGGGAGGGGTTACTCGTTTCCCGCTGACTTAGAATTATGCTTCGGCCAGGCGCATGGTTGCATGCACTTGGTTGAGTTGACACCAAACTTCCAGTGGTACCAACAAAACTGCCCAGATTGTCTGGACATTTGTGACCTGTTTTGTGACTTGGATCGTGGTCGTTGTGGTGACCTGCTCCTGTTTCTATGACCCATTTGCATTCTGGTGACAGCCTCAGTGAGACTCTTAACACTCGCAATGAGTCCTTCTATTACGGGGTCTTTTGCTGATTCTACTTTTTGTGTGTGATTTATTATGCCTGATCCAGTTGGAGGACCTCTTTCCATTATTCTGTCGGCTATACGCGCTAATTGAGATAATGAGGTTTCAGGATCCTGTGCATCCAAACAGTGTTGGACGTAGCATGGGAGAGCTTGTATCCATCCTTGTTTTAGGACTGCTTCACCCACTGTGTTATCACCCACTAAGACTTGGAGGTGACGTAAAAACTGTGACGGCGACCGATCACCTAGTGTTTCACCTTGAAAAAGTCTTTGGATTCTTCGACTATCTGATAATGATAAACGGTTCATTATCTCTCGTCTTAAGATGGTGTATGGTTGTGGTGATGGTGGACTCAAAATCAAGTCACGGACTTCTTTGGCGACTGAAGGAGGAAGGATAGAACACAAGTCTCTATAGCGAATCCCTTCAGATTTGATACTATGTCTCGTGAAATAATGCTCTAGTTGAGCAAACCACAACTCAGGATCACTACGATCAAATTCTGGAAGTCGGGATTTCGTAGTCATAACAGTGTCTATCTCCACTGGTGACAAATCCTCCAGATTCTGGGTTTCTATTGAGTCTGACATGAGGTATGTGACAAATATAGCAATAAAGTTAGCACAAAAAGTGGTTACTATAACACGAATAACTTAAGATAATACGGAATAAACTAGTTATATACTCAAATTAGTTTACGGATAATCAAGTCTACTTTTACGATTAAGTAAAAAAAATGTTAATAACAGAAATGAGGTTAAATTTGTGTTCAAAAAGGGCTCACCAGTTTCGTGCCTTAAAGTAGCCCTCGTGCTATTGATAGAAGAAACCAGAGAAGTAGTGAATAGGTCTTTATTTCGATCTTAGCGCGGTGACAGTGGAGCGTCCGATTACCTGTTCAGACAAACAAAGGCTCTCAACATTCAATATAAGATAATAGGGAATATAACGCTTATACAAAACAAGGAAGTGAATGAATACTTGAACAGTACTGTTTTGGCATATGCTTGGTTGTTTGGGGTCAACTCTTAACCAACCAACCTAGGCTGTTACAGATCTTCAAGAACAGATTTACGCAATGAAGGAGGAATGACAACACGATCGTTTAAACACAGAATACCATCAGGAGTAGTAGATAACTCATCCCGCTTTGAAAAATAGATAGGAAATCTCCGTTTCAAATTAGCATTCCAACCTTTCCTTATAGCACTGAGTATACATCCAAAATATCTACGAGTTTCTCTAATGAGATCTGAACGTCTCACTGGTAAAGGTTGCACTAACAAACAATCCGAAGTATTAATAGGTTTATCTTGTAATGACTGTCGAGAAATGTAATCAACATGTTGAATCTGTTTGGCACTTCTGTGCTGAACCGTATAGTCATATGCACTCAAAGCAATACTCCATCGCTGAACCATAGCTGCTGAGGAACGTGCTAAGGATTTTCCGGGATGATAAATAAACTTTAAAGCTTCATGATCAGTAACAATAGTGAATTTCTTTCCGAATAAATATTTATGAAGTCTTTTAACAGCCCAAAACACAGCTAATGCTTCTCGCTGAGTCTGTGAATAACCTTGTTCAGTAACAGTAAGTTTGCGTGAAACACAAATAACTGGTCTACCTTCCTGTTCCAAAACTGCACCAATTCCCACAGGTGATGCATCAGTAATAAGCACAGAATGTACATTAGGGGAGTACGTTCGAAGAACAGCATCACTTTGAAGAAACTTCAGCAGACTTCGTAAGCATGACTCTTGTTCCTCACTCCATTTGAATGAATTGGATGTTAAAATATTAAATAAACAATTTGCACGACAAGAAAAATTAGGAATAAAACGGAAATAGTATTGAAGAGCACCCACTAGTGAACGTAATTCTGTAAGATTTTTCGGAGACGGTGCATTAGTCAGTGGAGCTAGTCGTTTCATATCTGGTCTAAAACCGTTACCATCAACTAGGTATCCAAGGCATTCAAAACTAGATACACAAAATGAACACTTATTTGGATTCACTGTTATATTCTTCTCAATTAAACGTCGCAATAAAGCAATAAGTCTCTGGTCATGAACCACCTTATTAGAGCCATGAACAATGAGATCATCTTGATAAACTTCAACACCTTCAAGATCACTAACTACTGTATTCATAACTTCTTGAAATATGGCTGGAGAACAACTTAGACCAAATGGAAGGAAATTGTATTTGAACAGACCAAAAGGAGTGTTAATTGTCGTCAAAATAGATGAAGATTCATCTAAAGGAATTTGAAGGTAAGCATCTTTTAGGTCAACTTTCGAGAACACTTTAGAACCATGAAGTCGATTTAGAATATCTTCAGCTTCTACCGTCGTGCACGTTTGCTTCAACAAACGGGAGTTCAAAGTTAATCTATAGTCACCGCAAATTCTAGGGGTCTTGCCGTCCGACTTCAGTGGCGTAACGATAGGAGTACCCCATGCTGAAGACTGGATTGGTTCAATTATGCCTTTCACACACAAATCCTTTAATGTCTTATGTACTGCTTCTCGAAGACCATAAGGAATTATTCGTCTTTTAAGAAAGACGGGATCACCCTGTACTTGAAGTTTTATAGGCTTAATTTTCATACCTCCACTGCATTTAGCACACATAGCTATCAAATCTTTAAGTAAAGCATCAGAATTTTCTTTAGAAACTAAGAAGGACAACTCCACCTTAAGCCTTTTCAAATTCTTTAAACCCAATATTGACAGTCCTGTTTCGCTAACTAAAAATTCACAAGGTATGTATGAAGAATTATCATCTCTGAATAGCAATTCACAACATCCTCGTATGGGCAGTCTGTGTCCAGTAATCCCCAGTATTGATACTTCAGTGGGTCGTACAACAACGTTAGGATCTAAAGCTTTCAAGTTCTTGAATGAAATAATGGACTCTATACTGCCTGTGTCCAGAATAAAGTTGTAGTGACTCACATTTATCACGAGAACACGACTGGTTTAATAAAAACAATTATTATTATAACCAAGTGTACCAGTGACTGTTTTAACGTGCTTTTGTTTGACTGTGCTAATGACAGCTTTTTTGTGCTTCCATTCTTATACTTACCCTTTGATTGTAACTTCGCGCGAATTCGGTTGCGTTCTGTAACCAAGCTTGTATCCTGGCACGATCTCGGTATCCTTTCGATGCCACGAGATCGCCAGCAAATAAACATCGACTTGGTCCATTAATTGCCTTCTGGTATTCGGCTTCTCGGGGATTTTATGGAGTCATTTGGAACGAGCTACTTACGCCTTCTGATTTATCTGGCACGTGTTTCTTGGTAGCGGTGTTCATAGTTAATCTCAACTCGACGCCACGCTACAATTGGTAATCCCAATACGAATACAATTGGTAATCCCAATTCGATTACAATTGGTGACCCGTATTTTGGAACACGCCTCAGCTTCTGGTCAAATCTTCCAAAGAAGCCAATTCGGTGAGTCTATGATTTATCTATCCACGTCTGTCGTATATTTTCATATTTTTTAATATATAATATACGCGACATGACGGATAACGATAAGAATAGTATTAATATAATAGACTCACACGTATGTGTACCGAATCCTTGTCACTTTTTATTCGCGTGATGATGAATTCCACGCTCTATTCGAGAAATGTTACCCTATTAACGATTCTCCTCGCTGACCCGGCTGCTTGGTACGGAATGCATACGCATAAGCATATCCGTCTACCACCCAGCACCAAATGGTTAAGTTGAACGGTTTCATTGCCAACTTAAAAGTGCTCTACGAGCACACGAGAACGACAACTGGTACGAAACCTTATCGCTCGTCCTCTTAGGTATTCGAACGAGCTTGAAGGCAGATATACAATGTTCCGCCGCTGAAATGGTATACGGCACGACATTGCGTCTGCCCGGAGAATCCTTCACACCACGGAGCAGACCTAATTTCGGTAAACCAGACAACGTCCGTCGACTGTCTGCATTTATGTGAACGCTGTCTCCGGTGTCAACTCGAATACAACATCGGCAGGTCGCTCTCCCTCGAGAGTTATCTACCTGTTCACATGTTTTTGTACGAGTAGTTTCGGTACGCAAACCTTGGCAACAACCTTACGAAGGCCCTTTTCACGTGATCGCTCGTCACGAAAAGACCTTCAAGGTTGATCGACATGGCCGCGTCGAGATCGTCAGCGTTGATCGTCTCAAACCAGCACACGTCGATGACAGTGCCCTATCTGGTAACCTGAGATTCAATGCTAGACCTATTAAACCTAGCGGGATCCTTAAATCTTCAGGTCCCACGCTAGATGCATCTGAGACCTCATTCTCACGTCCCGGTCAACAGCACGCGTCATCTGCACCGTCTACGGACGAGACGATAGTCTCACGTCCAGATCAGCAGACCACGCCGCCTCTGACCTCGGATGAGATTGCAGGCTCACGCGACGCGAACGAGACTGCCGTCTCACGTTCCGGTCGCCGAGTACGGTTACCCGTACGCTTCCGCGAATAGTCGCACAGTCAACAACCGATACGGTGTAGGATTATTCCTATACTACACGCACGCTACACTCTTCTTTTTTGATTTTCTTTTTGTTTCCTGAGCCCACGCCTTCGACCATCTCCGTTTGGTTCCGTCGACTTCAGTCAACTTTGGCGAAAGCTGGCCTGATCACCCACGCTCTTGTCAACGTACTCAGTCGATATATTGGTTTCGAATGCTTGGCATACGCTTGGTCTCGAACTTGGTCGTTACGGTCGCTTCTGGTCTTTTGGCTCAACGTGGTTTCGTCCTTCGTCTGCAGCGTTTATGGTCCGGACCCGTACGAACGCCCTCTTCAGATTCTGGATACAAACCACTCTGGTAGCATGCCGACTCAAGCAACAAATACAGCACATCGCACCTGGTACCGTTCTCCGAAAACGACCTTCGTTGGCAACTCGACGATCAACGATCGCTTTCCTGTTCGCCAATCTTTCCGTCCTACAATCGCTCGTCAGCCGATCAGTCCCACGATTCAAACCGCTATTTATCGAAAGTGTTAACCCTTTCTAGCGGGGGGCTCCTGTAGTGACTCACATTTATCACGAGAACACGACTGGTTTAATAAAAACAATTATTATTATAACCAAGTGTACCAGTGACTGTTTTAACGTGCTTTTGTTTGACTGTGCTAATGACAGCTTTTTTGTGCTTCCATTCTTATACTTACCCTTTGATTGTAACTTCGCGCGAATTCGGTTGCGTTCTGTAACCAAGCTTGTATCCTGGCACGATCTCGGTATCCTTTCGATGCCACGAGATCGCCAGCAAATAAACATCGACTTGGTCCATTAATTGCCTTCTGGTATTCGGCTTCTCGGGGATTTTATGGAGTCATTTGGAACGAGCTACTTACGCCTTCTGATTTATCTGGCACGTGTTTCTTGGTAGCGGTGTTCATAGTTAATCTCAACTCGACGCCACGCTACAATTGGTAATCCCAATACGAATACAATTGGTAATCCCAATTCGAATACAAAGTCATGAAATGAACCAAGCGATGTATATAATCGCTTCTGAATATGAGCATTACCTTTCGAAATAGTGGACAAAGACAAATGATCACTAGAAACATCCGAATTATTGAAATTTAAATTACAAGATTTAGTACAGCTCGAAGCAAAATGGACAGTAGCTTTGCATACTGACTGAATGTGTCCTACCTTACCACATTTAAAACATTTAGCATTACGAAATACACATGAATTGCGAGCATGAAACTTTCCACATGATAAACATTTACCAAACTTCATCTCACCTTTGTGATTTGCTTTGTAATTCCTCGTTGAAACACCTTTCATATTTACACGAGAATAGG